TTTCCACTCCTTGTGAGTCATCTTAAATACCATACAACCCCCGCAAAAATTCCGTACTTCCCCGGAAATTGCTGTGGGCTGCCCCGGCTTGCACTTTCTCAACAAGGCATCCCTAATTCCATTTCCTCGTTTCAGCAGAAATTGGAAAAAGAAGCGGGATGATAAAGGGAAATCGCGTCAATCTTGCTCAGAATGCCCTTTCCTACGTAATCAGCGTGATTTGCGTAATTTGCGTACGCTGCGTAGTCCATTCGTTTCTCGGAAAAAGATTCCCAAGATCCCCACCTCCTATCACGAAATCCGGAAAAAAAATTCGCACAAAAAATACCTGAAGAATCGGGAAAGTGCAGACGCCACTCTCGAGGAGCGGGATGCTGATTTCGTCTGAAAATGCAATGTGGTGATGGTAGCTACGGTATACGGTATTAGGTCAGTTTTTAGCATCTGAAAACCCTACGTTTTTAGAAAAATCCGACTAAAGGGAGGGACAAGACAAAGTTATGGATTTTCTGGGGCTTTACTGGCGCCAGCGGCATGTGACGCGCAAGCCAGACCACGGCTATTAACCGGCCGTAATCCATTACGCAATGGAAAGGAAGCCACGAGCCAGAAAATCTGTAGTCTTGCCGTTCCTATCCCTTTAAAAACCCAACGAAGCCGAGAATGGACCCCCACGTTTCACTAGGTATCGATGGCCACGCGCCCAATCAAACTACGAGTCCCAGCCCGATCGGCCGGTTTCTCAGGTTGGTTTTCTCAAGCCTACCTATTAAGGCCCAGTTGCAGGCGATCCCTGGCTCTCCGGATTCATCTGCTGCTGCTCCCGGTTTTTCGCGAATTTCCGGAGATGCACTACGCTTCTCCATGCTGGTCGACGGCTGCTCGTTCGGTTCAAATTTTCTGGTTACGACGACTGTGGAGCTCATTTTGACAATGAGATTCTGAAAGCAAACAAATGAGAAATAACAAAACCATTTTGAGAAATAAAAAAAAACTGATAAAGATGGCGTAAGCAATAGTAAAAACATCAAATTTGAAAAATACCTAAGGAAAAGCCGAAAACCTTGCAGCAAATAATGGAAAAAGCAATAAAATTCGATTAAAAAATCGAAAACCATAAAAACGTTTCAAAATCTGGAATATGTCAGTAAAGATCGCAAAAAGAATTAATACATCCAGCTACTAGCAAATTCAGTTGCCGATTATAACTTAGAAACGGCTTATGCCGGAGAAACTGGCAACCAGAAACCCATAAACATCGTCGTCACCATGGTAGCGGCCCGGACCCGCGAATCCGGGATATTAAGGGGGCAAGGGGCAGCTGCCCCCTTTCGCCCTAACCTACACCCACTAATTATGACCTCAGCCTATATCCAGTGCTTACCCACCCAATAATGAGCAACGATTTTGCATACATAACCCATCGTGGGGCGTAATTTAGCGTACTAAGGCTGGGTTCAAGCGGCAAAATTCGATAGCTATTCTATCTATCCCATCAAAATTCAGAATGTTCATAATGTTTATGTACATTTTCAATGTTCTTAATGTCAAAATTTCATCATGCTAACAAGGAGACGTTTTTAAGTGTCGTCGGGACTTTGGCATGGGACCAAGCCTATCTTGTGCAGAATTTTACGCTGATTCCGAATATGGTAACCGTTTTTGCGGAATAGCCATTTCTCAAAAGTTATGAACGATTTAAACATCAAACCACCCCAAAATCGGCTACTTTCGATAGTCATAAAAGGCTTCGGAATAGGTTTCCAACTTTTCAATGGTACATTTTATAGAGAATTTTTTTTCTGAACATGATGTACTATCTGGTTTTGTCTAAAACCTATTCCGAAGCCTTTTATGACTATCGAAAGTAGCCGATTTTGGGCTGTTTTGAGGTTTAAATCGTTCATAACTTTCGAGAAATGGCTATTCCGCAAAAACGGTTACCATATTCGGAATCAGCGTAAAATTCTGCACAAGATAGGCTTGGTCTCACGCCAAAGTCCCGACGACACTTAAAAACGTCTCCTTGTAAGATTTAGGCTGCCGGTTTGTCAAAGTGTCGAAATCTGCATGAGCACATCCCCAAAATACGATGCAAAAAACTTCGACTGTATGCTTGTAAATCAACCGCAGCTACACGCCATGCCAAATGAAGCGTCTAAAGCCGGTGGAATCTTTCCTCCATTTTGACAGCTTAAATGAAAATTCGACAAGAGAATCTTATAAATCTTTTGACGCACTGAGAGAGAGAGAGAGAGAGAGAGAGAGAGTGAGAGAAAGTGAAAGAGAAGTGGATCGAAGGTCTATTTTAAGACTTATGGCTTAGGGGTCAAAGCACACCTAGATCAGGGTGGATCTCAGCGTTTTTAAGGGGCTAGCCAGTGATATTGCTATTTTCTTTGTGTAATGGGTTGGGTCTCAAAGAAGTCAAGCAGGATGCACGTCGCCCAACACAGCAAATTTCGTAGGTATTCTTAGAAAATGAATGGCGAAAAAAATCCATAGCCGCGCCTTGTCCGAACCTTTAAGAATGAAGAAATATTGAAGCCGCAATTGAAATGGAAAACGTAACTGACCAGAGAATTCCACTGACGACCAGATCCAGGAACACCCGTCTCCAAAAACAGACGGTCATCGCTGACAACCGGAAGCCAGGGGCAATCAACCAACCTAATTCGTTGCCCCCTGCCTGCCACGTCGAGAAAGCCGCAATGCCAATCCCAAAAATAATCAGAAATTCAAAGCGAACGCGACACGACGTGGCGCCTGATTCGAATTCCGGGGTACCGGTGAAGAGTGAGAGATGGACAGGGAGAGAGAGTGAGAGGGAGAGCCATAGAAAGCCAGAGAGAGAGAGAGAGAGAGTGAGGAGGAGAGTGAGAGAGAGAGAGAGAGAGAGAGAGAGAGAGCAAGTAAGACAGGTAATTTACGGTCAGGTAATTTACGTGAGATTTGTACTGGGCGGGCGGGGGTTCGGATTCGAAGAAAAGAGTGAGTTCCGGGTCGAATTTAGCTTTTTTCTGCAAGGAGAGTGAGGGGCGAGAGAGAACGAGAGAGTCGAAGGAGTGCGAGAGAGAGAGAGAGTGAGAGAAAACGCGAGAGTCCAAAGAGTGAGAGAGAGGTAGCGAGCGAGAGAAAAAAGCAAACTTAAGCATCTGTAGTTTAGAAAATCTGGATTTAGTGTGAAAATCGTAGAAAAAACGATTGAAATACAAAAACATTACCTCTTGCAACAAACTATAGCATTGTAAAATTTCGAAATTCACACCGGAAACCGGACCTTATGAGATCCATTTGGGTACTTTTATACCCGCTGGTAGTGGGGTTATATAGGGATTGGCGCTCCTCTCTCTCTTTTCCACCTCTATTTCTTCCATTCCTCCCCTCAAAAGGCTTCTCCCTCCACTCCCCTTTTTCAGAGGAGCACCCCGGGAATTCTGGGAATACGCTGGATTCCAAGAAACGCCGGGCCAAGCCCCCCTCTTGCTCCCCTCTCAAAGCATTCTCACGCCTCATTCACGGAAACCTCGAAAACACCATCGCTAGCAGGGGATTAGGTCAGCTTAAGAAGCTCAGAAAAACCGTAGCTTACCGGAAAAAGGAAGCAATGGAATTGCTACAAAATAGAGGGATTACGGTTGGGGAAAAACCGTACCAGTTAGGAATTGGGATTTCGGGTGCTTGTGCATTATCGGGGGTGAGGGGCAAATCCTGAACCCTCAAAAGTTATTGAGAGAAACCTGGACAATACGCCCTGGCTGTAGGATGGAGTAGGCTTAAACATTCCGGAAAGACCGTAGCTTAAGGGAAAACCGAGCTCAATTCAACCTCTACAAGAATTAAGGGATTACGGTATTCAAAACTCTCAAAAAATATATTTAAAGACACCTCAAAAGCACATTCTGCAAATAGGATCGGGTCGGCGCAGAAATTCGGAAACACCGGATCGTACCGGGAACCGGAGTCCAGCAGAACCGTTAGGAAATGGAGTACGGTATGTAAAAAAAATCACAGGCTGGGGTCTTACGGTTGCAGTAAAAAATTGGCAGGATACCAGAGAAAAGATGTTCGGTTTTTGGCTAGAAGTTTTACGTCGCTTAATCGAGTCTCGAGTAAAAAATCTATAATTAAGTAAAGAATCTAATTTTTTGAATTTTGAGAGTAGTGTTCACCCCTTTCTGGAAGTGCGCCGATCCCCGCGCTACGTGCAATGCGGGGCCGACGCTATTCGGCGAGAAGCAAGCTTCTGCTAACCGAACCATTTCCAAAAATATGTTAATCTCGTTGTACACAATAGTGTACGTATCGGAGATTAAGCCGATAAGAACATAAACTACAAATTGATCTAAGCCAGGGGCCAGAAGCGATGCCCATGAAGCAACATCAATTGTATTACCATGTCATAGTGAGCCAGGTGGGGGACGAGTCGGGAGGGCAGATCGGCCGGCCGGTCACTCAACTGATAGTTTAATGGGCGCAGCCCCGAGATGAAAAACGGCTAAAAAACGTACACTAAAAAATTCATATACGAATCAAAATTGATTTGCTATTTCAAATCTTGAAGCAATTTCTCGAACCCTTGCGCAATTAGAAAACGCTTATAAACTTAGTCACTTGCAACCTTAAAATCTTAGAAAATCTCACAAAGTTAGGTTCTGGGAATTGTTTTAAACAACTGTTCGCTTCGGTTCAAGAAATTTGCTGTAAAACGAATAGCGGTGCCCCACTTTCACCGGCCATGTGTTTTCTATATTTCAAGCACCTCCATGATTTCCCGAAGAAAAAAATATTGAATAATCACTCTTGTGATGGAGCCGATAAGGGATGATTGGCCGCCTTACTGCGCCAGGGGTTCTAAGCCGGCGCCTCTAATCGCATCCGAAGTTCGGCCGAACGCTTTTTAGAAAATTTCCCCGGCCCTACCAATACTTATCATTTTTATCATTTAGATTTCGAAATAAATGTGCGCTTTTAGGTAATCAAACCGGAATGCCGTGGAAATGAGCATATTACTCTGGATATTTGTATTTTTCGAAATTCTCATCGTCAATGCGAAAAGTAGGTTTTTTTGCGTAATTTTAATCAGCTTGATTCCTAGCTATTAATGAAATAATTTTAGAAAGCTGCACGGCTTTCCTGTACCAAAATATCACGTGTGCCGACGATGTGGAGATACTAATCGCCATTGACGATGCGAATTATACGCGCGAAGAGGCGCAGGACGTGAGAGTTTTTTCATTTATACTTGACTGTCCTGCGATTTTCTCGAGGTTTTTTTTGTGCATAGATTTTTAGCGGAAAAGTCATTCCAAAACCCAATAAATCACTTGTTTTCTGCCCCCGAAACTCGGAATTTTCTAACCAAAACTCGGTAAACTAGCTGCGTTATCAGTTCCATCAGGCGCAGCCAAGCCGGGGCCATAAATCGCCCTAGAAATTTACGCGCTAAGATTGCGAAATTTTTAGGGCGTGGTGGCTTGCATTGTTCCGAATTTTTAAAGGGGCCGGGGAGCAGAAGAATTAATAGATGAAGGCCAAAGGCAAAAATCTAGATGCAAAACTTCATAGTCCACGACTTTTTACCTGCCTATAAACAAGGGGAGGCTAATTTTACGATTGCTTGGAGAGGTAAGCCATTTCTCATTTCTCCCTCACACTGCCTCACTCACCCTAGTTCTCTCTCACTCTCGCTGACTCTCTCACTCTCTCTCGCTGTCTCCCGCTCCCTTACTCTCACACTCACACTATCTGTCCCTTTCTAACTCCCGCTACCTCCCTCACTCGCTTCTCTCTCTCTCTTTCTCTCTCTCGCTCTCTTTCTTTCTCCCTCTCCGCCTCTCTCTCTGTGGCTCTCTCTGGTCTCTCTGTCATTCTCTCTCTATCACTCTCTCTCACTCCTCATCGCTCTACCTCTCTCTTTCGCTCGCTCTCTCTCTCGCTTCTCTGTCTCTCTCCCTATCTCTCTCCCGTCCCCAAGAATCTCTGCACGCTTACCGACCTGTCACGACATTTTTTTCAGACTGCCATTACCGGGGAGATGAGAACGGTGAGCCGTTCGCAAAATCAAAGTGTCAAACGGATTGGACGAATACATCCTATGTGCAACCCGTCCGCTGCCAAGCAAAGGATTTTATCAAAAATGCAAAACACGTCGCAAATACCACGGTGGCGAGGTGGTTGGACTACTTTACGCTGAGTGCCACTTGTGAGTTCAGACCCCTTTAGCTTAATCAAAGATTATAATCCAGAGGGCTAGGCTTTAACGCTCCTTTAATTTCTTCCTTGATTACTGCTTTAGTTCTGCAGAGCCTCAGCATCGCCCATGAATCCTCAAAAATATGCGGCAAGAAGCAAGACTCGTGCCAGCGGATTGTCGATGAATTTGGGTAGGATTTGGCATTAATTTAGGCTTTTCTCTTATTTTAGCAAATTTCGAACGGATGCACAGCGGCCAGGAAACATTGCAGAGTAAGGCCCACGAAAATCGGTTCTGGTTCGTTAGCAGGGGTGGGGGATCCCCAGCCTGATAAACACCCCGACCTCCTCCCCCCCCCCCGCTAACGCCCCAGAACCGAAAACGGTCGATTTTTAATCGATTTTCAGCTTCATCCATGATATTCTCATCTGGGGCGGTGATCAAAAGCACAGAAACGTAATCCTGATTTTGTTCACTACTAACAAGTGGGTACCTTATACATCTTGGTAGGCTTGGGTTTGACTTAGGTCTGGGTCAGGCTTAGCTTAGGCTTGGCTACGGCTTGGCTTAGGCTTGGCTGAAGCTCGGCTGAGGCTCGGCTTAGCCTTGACTTAGGCTTGGCTTAGGCTTGGCTTAGGCTTGGCTTAGGCTTGGCTTAGGCTTGGCTTAGGCTTGGCTTAGGCTTGGCTTAGGCTTGGCTTAGGCTTGGCTTAGGCTTGGCTTAGGCTTGGCTTAGGCTTGGCTTAGGCTTGGCTTAGGCGTGGCTTAGGCTTGACTCAGGCGTGGCTTAGGCTTGGCTGAAGCTTGGCTGAGGCTTGGCTTAGGCATGGCTTAGGTTTGGCTTAGGCTAGGCTTAGGCTTGGCTTAGGCTTGGGCTAAGCTTAGGCTTGGCTCTATTTTTTAGCGATCCTGCCGATTTCCAAACGCACGCCCTGAAGGAAGTATCTTGGATGAAAGCCCTACACGTCGTCAATTTACGCCAAGATTTTCCGGATTTAACGTAGGTCCTCGTTTTTGCATCAAAGCGCGTTAAATGCCGGTCTAGAGATTGGAGAAAGCCGGATGGAAAGGTGATTTGCTCCACGGGAATTACGCAAGACTCCCTAATGACGGCACTGATCGATATCATTTGTGGGAAAGAGGTGGCTGGTAGGTGTGACAGGGCAGGCTAGCAGAGTTCCTTGCGGAAGTTGATCGTGATCTTGGCAATATGTAAGCGCAAGCTAGGAGAGAAACGCCAAAATCTTGAATCCCAAAATTTGGACCACCAACAAGACTTTTTGCACAGTTACGAGATCCAACTTGGACGTCTAGAGCCCTTCCGGTGTCCGCTCAACAATTCATCTACCGCTTCAACGGCAAGCGCTCCTTGGACTTCTGGGACCCCCGAAACCACCACTCCTGAGCGAGAAACTACACCTACCACCGTTCAACTGTTTACGACATCAGCCGCTACTTTCCTAACGACATCGAAGACATCGACCCACAATACCACAATTCCTCAGCAACAAACTACAACTACCACGGTTGAATCACTTACGACAACATCTACGACCATCGTAACGACGTCTTCAACCTCGACCACGACCGAAGGCCCGACCGGAGACCCGACACCTCCGCCCAGCCCCTCGAAGTGTAGCCAAAATCCAGGAAGCCTGTGGCTAGATGTGATTCTACTGGTTGAGGCATCAGATGCCGTTGGGAATTCGACGTTTATAGAGGTACGGAGAGAGAGAGAGACAGAGACAGAGAGAGCGAGAGCGAGAGGGAGAGAGTCTGCGAGAGAGGGGTGGAGGGAGAGGGCGAGAAGGAGTGAGCGAGCGAGGGAGAGGGAGACAGAGAGAGAGTGAGAGAGAGCGAGAGAGCGAGAGAGTGAGAGAGTGAGCGATAGATAAAGTGATAGAGAGAGGGAAAGAGAGAAAGAGACAGAGAGAGAGCGAGGGAGAGAGCACGAGAGAGAAATCCATGTTTTTAGATCGAAGCACTCCTAAAATCCGCCTTCGAACAGCTGCCAATCGGCTTATCCCGTCGCAACGAGACGCGCGTTGCGGTCGCCGTGTACGCAGATACGGTAATTTTTGGGTTACAGTAGCGAAGTCCGGAAGCTGGCTGTAGTTTGCAGGTTGAACCGATGAAAACTTGCTTTTTTTTTTAGATAAAGTGGATGGGCCAACTTGGAGACTATCGTAGCCCCATCGAATTTCAGTTCAATCGCTGGCAATATTTGGGTACGGACGGAACGGATATGGAAGCGTAATTACTGACACGAAAGACTATCGTATTCCTCAAATTTTAGAGCATTCCGAACAGCGAATGACGAAATGGACACGTCCCGATTTCGGCGCACCAACGCTCGATCGGTCATCATCTTTGCTGCTGAGAACTTCAGGTAGTTTTTAAAGGATCAGCTAAAACAGGTAATGATAAAACCAACAAAAAAACAGTTACAAACACAGTTCAAACGTACGTTGTGCGCGCGCTCACTCTTGCACTAAGTGCTGCTCCAGTACGATACGTTGCATGACTACCGGAGCGTAGGGTACCGAGGCGCGGTGGGCATGAAGGTAGCGTATCGGAGCGTTACCTATCTGAGCGTAGCGTACTTCAGGTAGCTCTCAAAAAAATGGCGTTGTCGTCGAGTACGCACTTCCTCTTGCACTACGTCAGGCTCTCCGGTACGACACGTTGCATCGCACCACGGAGCGTCAAGTACCGGGCGTAGCGTACCCGCTCGAAGCGGAATGCTGCGTAGAGTACCCGTACCGGAGCGTAGCCTACCGGAGCGTAGCGTACCGGAGCGTAGCATATCTGAGCGTAGAGTACCGGAGCGTGGCGTATCGTAGCGTAGCGTGCCGGGGTGCAGCGTACTGGAGCAGAGTAAGAACGAGCTTTACGCATAATTTATTACGTTTATCACATTGTTTCACGCATTCCCTAACGTGGCGTAACGTAGTTTAACGTCATGTAGGAAACCGCAGCAAAGAACATTTTTTATTTTTAGAAAACAAGGTGACGTCGAAGAATTTCTAGAAGACGTCAAGACATTCAAGGACAACGAGGGTATCATCATCGTCATTGGTATGCCTTTTCAAATCGCATTTTTATTTTTGTTAGATTTTGGCCAAGACCATGAATACGAGGCCCTGTTCCGCAAGATTTCCAGCGGCGGCTTTTACATGAAGTTCAGCAACGATTGGACCTCCTTCATCGAGCAGTTGAATACGTTGTTATGCCAAGGTACGGGACGGACGCCGCGGCATGGCTCGCGTCACGGCGCTTTGTCAAAAACCCATGTTCAGCGAACTGCTTCTGCCCGGGTCAGGTCGAGCTTAGCGGCGGAACGATCTTTGAGCCGATAAGTGGCCCGTATCAGCGGGTACCGACCTTTGGATGCTTCTGGGTGAGCTGAAAATAGACAGAGAGAGAGAGGGAGTGAGAATGAGAGGGAGAGAGATAGACAGAGCGCGAGAGAGAGCGAGAGAGAGAGAGATAGAGAGAGAGAGAGAGAGGAGAGATAGAGGGGGAGCTAGAGAGAGGGCGAGATATGAAGCGCTTGATAAGCGGATTAATTTCGAGGCGCCAAAAAAAATGCAGCTGCCGACAAGAAGTAAATTGTGCACTTCCCAAAACGCAAGGGCGACACGCAAGAAATGAAACACGTCAACAGAGCATCTTTAAACCTGTCCAGAGTAAACGTAGTGTAGTAAAATTTCTAAAAACATCTCGATTTTTCGATTCGATTCGATCAAGCGTAGCGGCTCGTCGAGATGAATTTTTCCGCATAAAAGTGAAGCCGTTCCTGAGCAGCCAACGAATCATAGAATTCTGAACATCAAGTTTTGATGAGAAAGTTATTATCAGAAAGGCACCAAGGAAGGCATCTTTTTCAGAGATCCGATCTTCCAGCCCTGGAAACGCTGGCCGAACAGGCTTGCAAAGGTTTGGGTAGCGCCGAGCATCGGACAGAAATGGCCATCTACAGAGAGCCGGAGCAGATGGCGTGGATACGGGAAAGTAAGGACTTGAACAAGCCTGATTTATCTGTACGCGCAACGAGAACGCAACGTTACTGCAACGCGCCAAGAAGACAGCCCAACCATTTCGATTTTATTACTATTGAATGTTTTTATAAATTCCTTTTTCTGGATAAGCCTCAACTTCGCATGCCTCGACGTGACGCATCGCGGCCGCGTAGCTTATTCGCGTACATTTTTTTTTAAATTCTCGATTTTCAGCCCACAAAGACGACCCCGGTGCAACGTTTGCCGCCATGCAGCTGGAGCACGGGAAGTGGATCTGGTTTGATGGGGTGGAATTTGTAAGTTTTTGGGGTTTGACGTTTAGATGGTTATTTATTCATTACCATACCTCTATCTTTATTATCATTCGAAGGGCTAACATTAAAATTCATAAATGAAAACTTAACAAAACGCTTAAAAATTGCAAATTTAGAACGGAGAAATAAACGTGACCAACGTAAACGACATCCACGCGACGTACGGCCCTATAAAAGGTGAATTACTGAAAGGGTATACGGTAATATGAAGGCATTTTAGGCGAGGCACCGGCCCAAGCCTGGGGCTTCGCCACCATCGGCGAAAAGGCAGGAGCCAAATATGTCTGCCAGACGCGGGTGTGCGATGCAGAGTTTTATTGTGAATAAAAAATAAAAAACCCGGCCCCCGGCAGAGAAGCAGTTGCAGAATTTCCCAAAAAAACCTTCAGAAAGGTCCGGTGGTTCCCTAAAAAGAACCAAAAAACCATACCAATTTCGCCGTTCATCCATCTCGTCCTGTCCCTGGGGCCAGTACGATAAACGGTTGATAAGAGCCGTTTTGTCCCGATTTGATGGCGTTTTGTGGCGAACAAACGTTCCCAAAAATTGGCAGGAATGGTCTGTATGATCCCTTAGAAAAATTTTCTTGAAGTTTGTGTTTAATACTTGAAAAAACTAATTCTATTTTCAAATTGGTGCGTACAAAAATGCCCTATAAAAGGCCTTTTGTTGACGCCTGGAATTTTTTCTGCATTTTATCTTAATTACAGATAGTTTTCAGGTTGTTTTGAAAGCGCCATTCCATAGTTCTTGAAAAATAGATACAGTTAGCCCCTCAAAGCTTTAAAATTGAGTACATTTTAGCAAGGTTACGCCCCGGTGTCCCCCATATATCCAGTTCCCCTCATCGGTCAGCCAATTTCTCACCCGTACGTGAACTTTTCAGCTTCTCCAATGTTGCGATAGTCCCCCGGAAAAACCAGCACTTCATCACCCCCGAAATGCACTACTGGAACAAAAAACGGCCATGACCCGTTTATGTGCAAAAAAAGCTGCCCTAGCCCGTCTAAAACAGACACAGGCAATAGGGCAGAACCCGTGGGAGATGGTGATCTGTCAATTTGCCGCGTCGGAGAACGAGAGGGAGAGAGGGAAAGAGCGAGAGGGAGAGCGATAGAAAGCGAAAGAGAGAGACAGCGAGCGAGAGAGAGAAGCGGGAATGAATGAGATACCCGCCTTCAACAGATACCTTCCATTTCTCGCTCCCTCCATCTCTCTCTCTCTCTCTCTCTCTCTCTCTCTCCCCACTCCTGATTTACCGCGCTCTCCTCCCACCATCCACCTACCGCCGGGTGTACGGTAGGTCGAGGGGCGGAGATGAGACGCTTCCACCCTCTAAACGCTACAAAATGCAACATTCGTGACCTGATTTCAGGGATCGGGTTTTCAGGAGCAGCTACCGTATTCCGCCAGCTTCCTAGATTAACAACATGTCTCACCAATATTCACCTACGTCAGGGCAGCTGATTTTGAAGGTACGGTAACTGAAGCGCGGCTTTTAAAGGGCCAAGCAATCGCCAGAGTCAACCCCTTTACCAAAAGGCTATACTAACAAGTTACGTAAATCTAGAAAGTTACGAGATGCTACAAATCACGGGGAATCTTGGCTAAAACCTGAGGTTCCGACTTTGAAGCTAACATGCATTGGTGCTTGCTAACGTTGCTTTCTGAGGTACCGTGTAGCTGTCGAGGCCTAGTGAATTTAAGTGGCCGATTTCCGATCTTCCTGGCCATTTTGTCGGGGTTGTTTCCTGGGAATTTTTTTTCTTGCGGTGAGTCTTTTCTTCTTCTTTTCCAACCCAACCGTACGTTTTTAGTGGTACGGCTGCCCAGCGGAAGGCTGCCCGGAATTTTTCAGTAACCCCGACGCCCGTCGAAGTCACGTGATGGCCATTCACACGCCGCGCACCTGGGCCAGGTTGGATGATGAGGATATGGTATGCAACGTTCGTCTATGATATTTTTCTTTTCGATATTTCAAGAGCCTTGGAAGCAAATTCTTTTCAGCGTTCACCGCATTCGACAAACTCGCAAACCGAACTGTTCCGCGGCCGCGAATCGCCAAAAGAGGAGCAACGAAGCACGGCCACCGAGGGCTCACCTGAAATTACCGTGCTTACCATGTTGTCGCCTGTCGCTCCGACGCTGGTCTCACGTGGGACGCAGGTAAGTACGACTTTATCTTATTTTTAGGTCATCTTAGACAAGGAAAAATTCCGCTAGCCAAAAACCCCGACATTCAAAATCGTTGTCAAACTATCATTCAAATGGGCGTCAAAAGATATCGGTATTTTGGCTGCCGGTGTCTCCCTGTGGGTAATTACGCTCTCGCGATACTAGTCTGTCGGGATTCTGGTTGTCGGTATTTTGGGTATCGGAATTTTGCATGTCGGGATTTTGACCATCGGGGTGATGACTGTCGGCATGTTGGTTGTCCGAATTTCGGCTATCGAGATTTTGTCTGTCGGTATTCTGCCTGTCGGGGTTTTGGCTACCTTATTATTGCCTATTTAGCTATAGACCTTTTGCCCTGTCGGGATTTTGACCTTTCTGGATTTTTCTCTGTCGGGATTTTGAATTTTCGTGATTATCGCTAGAATTCTTCTAGACTGACGAGGACCTCTACTGCCCACGTTGCTACATTAAAAACGTCGGGCTTCACCCCACGAAGAAAAACATCCCGCCGATGCCCCCGATGCGCGCCAAGTCTAAACAACGGCGCCAAATATGCCTCACACCGAGACCACCGGTTTGAATTCGAGCCAGAATCGAAAAATGTCTTATTAGCTCGTGCTCAAAACCGTCGGCGAACTAAAGGAAGCAAGGGCGAACCAGGCGAAGCGATACCCCGCCCGTTCGAGTAGTAAGCAGTTGGAGAAACAGTCAGATATAGCGAAGACGTATGAGAGACCGGCAGGAAAAGAGGCGGAAACCAACTTTTCATCGAAGGTTAGACGGCCTTTTATTCTGTCCTCTTTTCTCTCTCTCTCTCTCTCTCTCTCTCTCTCTCTCTCTCTCTCTCTCTCTCTCTCTCTCTTTCTCTCTCTTCTCTCTCTCTCTCGCTCTCCCTCTCTCTACCGCTGATCCTGATTAATTTTAGGTTGTCTCCGACGGAGTCCTTACCATCCGAAAGGTACGCTCCCGGAAGCCCACCTCCCAATTCGTGATCCCGAAAAGCACCAAAAAGAACGCAGGGGTGAAGCCGAAGCGGAAATTGAGCCCGGATACGGTACGTTGCTTTAAAAATTTTTCTTGTTGCCTCTCTTGCTCTCTTTTCTCTCAGTCTCTCTCTCTCTCTCTCTCTCTAGCTCTCCATCTGTCTTCTTCTTTTTTCTGGTCCTACAAACAATGGAGCTTTAAGAGGATGCTGGAACAACTGAAGCGAGTGCTGCGGAAACGCCATGATGATGCCGCAGGAAAAATTGACGCATGGAAGCTGCTCCCACGCAGACCAGGCCCAGCTGTCTTCACCCGGCTCGAAGCGGCTACGCCCAACTGTGGTCATAAAGGTGAGAGAGATATAGAGGGAGCGAGAGCGTGAGTGAGAGCGAGAGAGAGAGATATCGAGAGATTTCACTACCATTTTTCAGGCCTTCCAAGAGTGTCTCAAACAAGGCTGTGCTGAACGTCAGAATTTCTGGGCAGCCCTCAAAAAGCATCTCCTATCCAGCCATGTCGTCCGTCAGCCCGGAAAATCAAGAAAACCCCGCCATTCCTTAACCCCACAATTGCCTGCCAAGCCTACGCTGAGGCGCTCAACGTGTGGGCAGGAAAGAGGTTAGCAAAAAGTTGAAGATGTGGAATTCGCCATGAAAAATACCGACCGTTAAAATACCGACAGCTAAAATACCGACACCCAAAATGCCGACAGTAGGGCACCATTGGAAATGCCGACGCACAGCCGCTTTGGACCGAAATTTTCTTTGCGAGTAATTTATGGCGTAGTTTAGGGCCGCGCGTAGCTGTCTAGGCCTAGGCGGAAGAAGTGGCCGATGTTGGCGCCTACCTGTTCCTTTGAAAAAAGCCATAGTGTAATTCATAGCCGACAAACCCATGGTCGGGTCTTCAACCGCCCTTTAAGAGCCTTAACTTTGTCTTTTAAGCCCTGATAGAACGCGTCATTAGGAGTGGCTCGTAGCTGTCTAGCCCTAGGTGTTCGCAGATTCGATTTTCGCTCTTCCAAGCACCTTTAAGATCGAATTTCGGCCGTTACCGTAAACCATGCCCGGCGAGTTGCAGTCGATACCCAGCCTATTTAAGGGGGTAGAATCTCGCATTTCACAGTTTCCTTAAACTAAATAATTTTTCAGGCAAAAACTCCTCACCGGATCTACCGCAGCAGCAGCATCTCTTCAAACTCGACGGTTTCCCTCAGTCGTGCTCTCGAATACGTACGAACCCAGTATGGGGACCCGAACGTCGATATTTCCGCTTGTGCCTCACCTGATGGAGATGATTACATCCAAAAATTGGTCCTAAGAAAAGACCCAGTCTCTGGGGGCTATATGAGCCCTGGGAATTCAGCCTCAGTATCTCCCATACCTGGCCCGTCTAATTCGTGGTGGTGAGGGTACTGTAATTTCAGGGTCAGTTAGTGCTTTGCTTCTTTAGAAATAAGCCATTACTGTACTAACGGTCTCAATGGACAGGTTTATAAAAAGAGAATAAATAGTTCATAATAAGCTGGAAAGGTCAGAAAAAAAACAAAAAGCCAGTACTGAATCGTTCTTAATAAGCTTGGAAAGATGGTCAGAACCGCCCCGGTTTTTGGGAGCCGGTTGGCACGGCTCTTTTTGTATGGTATAGAAGGGTTGTATCGTGGATCGGCCGGATCAGAAAACCGGACCTGAGGCTCAAGAAAAAGCCTGCCCGGTCATACGGTATTCGGACGCATTTTCTTAAAGGGCTGCCGACGGCATGTGTCGATACCCCCTCATCAACAAATTGGCAGGTAGCCAACAGAGAGCGGCCCAGGGAGGCGCAGAGAACTTCCGCGCGTAATCGATTGACTATGCCGTCGGCATCCCTTTAATTTTCGCATCATCGATGGCTACGGTGAAAAATCCCTTGCCCGCCATCACGCAGAAGGGTTGGCGGCGACAGGAAAATTTCATCCTGATAGGCCCTGAGAAGCTTTGACACTTACGGTAACCCTCGAACTTTGCAAGGCACCTACAAGCCTGGTGCCCTGAAACAGGATCGCTTCAGGACCGTAAGCGGTCGATCACCTCTGGGAGCTTCATGTATCAAGCCCGATTCGCTTGTCTTGGACTTATCTTGATGTTGCCCTAAAAAGCCGTTCCACCGGATGGAAACCGGTGGCCAAAAAGCATGATAGGCGGGACAATCTGTCAAACCGGACCAAAGCAAGGCGTGAAACGTGTGCTCATTTGGGGGGCTATCCTCCGGTAGCGGCCTTTTCTCGTTCTTGCATACCGTATCTCCGGGACAGACCGTTTTTACGCCTCTCTATGTTTGTTTCCGTTTATTTCTCCATTTCTATAGCCAATGCTCAATTTTAGGTGACTTTTACTTCGAGGTTACTGTGAACCCACCGCACCACAAAGTTAATAGGCAACATGATGCCGCAAGAATACTATTCTCCAACTTCCGGCCAGTTAGTAGTCAAGGTACGCGACTCTTTTCGTGCGTACGCGGTTAGAGCTTGTTGACATTGCTTGTTTTTAGTGGTATTGTTGCCCATCGGAAGGTTGTGGACGCTTCTACCGTGATCCGGAAGCTCGTAGCCTCCATATTATCGCTGAACATAGCCCGAGAACCTGGGCTATGAATATTTTGAATAGCCATCCAAATGGTGAACCGGTAGAGGTGAGTAGCGAGAGAGAGAGAGAGCGAGAGAGAGAGGGAAGAGAGAGGGAGAGAGGGAGAGAGAGGGAGGAGAGCGCGGGAGAGAGCGAGAGATAGAGAGAGGGGGAGAGAGCCGGAGAGAGGGAGAGAGAGAGGGGGGAAGAGAGGGAGAGAGTGAGAGAGAGAGAGAGGGGGATGGAGAGAGAGCGCGAGAGAGAGCGAGAGAGAGCGAGAGAGGGAGAGAGGGAGAGGGAGAGAGAGAGAGAGAGAGAGAGAGAGAGCAAGAACATTAACGACTGTGCTTTCAGATCCAGCAACAATTTGTCCAACCCTGCCCACCCCAAATTCCTCCACAAGAAGAAGCACTTGATCGCTACTTCGCCAACCTAAAAACTCCTGATCTTTTCCAGTCGTCGACACTGCACCAAAATGGACAGGCAATTGCTAGATCTACGAATTAAGATTTTTTCTATCTTCAGGCGGTTCCGGCGACCACTCAAGCTTATCCGGTTCAGCAATCCGGTTTTACTGATGAAAACGCCGATCCGCAAATAATGTTGGACGTCGTCAACACGCCGCAATTATCGCCTGTTGACATGCAATGCCTCGGAATGCCCGTGAGGTTGGAAAACTCAGCTGAGGCCTTTGTTCTAGGAGTATGGCGTGGCCCCTCAACCTAGGAATACCAACTTTGGGGCTTCACTGCAAGAATCCAACCTTAACGGCACGTCGACGCGAATTTTGGTGCAGACTGATTTTACCATGATGCAGCCTGTACTTCCGACAAAAGTTACGCAAGGAACGCAGGTAAGCGAGCTTGAAAACTGAGATGAGTCAGCGGTTAGTTGGCTATCCTCGTCCATATAGCTAATCCGGGACCTAAGGTAGGTTTTTGGTTGGTCAGGTTGTCGAGGAACACAAGAACTGCGTTTTCAGACAATGGAACCAATCTGCTGCGAACGTTGTGCGTCGGAATACCAGCAGCAACCGGCTGAGGCGGAAGAAATGGTTGTAGGCTATTCGCCGTCAGGCAAGAAACGAGGACGACCGGCGAAATGCGCAACGAAAATACGTGTGGCGTCGAAGCAGGCTCGGGTTCAGGTCAGCTTCTTACGGACCAATAAAGCAAGTTTCAGGAAATACAGCCGGGCCGCCAAGAAGCGCGCTATCCGCTCCGAAAACATGGAACGCAACTTTATGAGGGAAGTCTGGAGAACGAGCATGCTGAAAACACAGAAGAATCAGCTCTGGAAGCTCTAGGAGAATGTGGCATCACGCCATCCCTTCAGTGCCCCGGCTTCCGGCCTATCCGGAGCCGGTGAGTGGTCCTATATAATGGGATCGAATCAGCTCTCCCAGGACACTCGCTCTCCCCTATCTGCTCCCCCCATCTTAGATGGATACATTATGAAATAGGGATTCTAACCCTTCTGCTCTTGTTATTTTAGTATTATGTAAGTCTCTCATTATGTAGTAATTGTATTCTCTTATATTTATAGAATTGCCTTATACAAATAAACCTAATATCTATAGAATCTCCTCATATAATATTACACTGAACGTTATAATACTGCTCAATTAAAGGGATCAATATATAAGCTCTGTAGTTACAACCGACGGTGCTACAGAAATGGTGCGTCGCAAGGATCCCCCGGGTCTAAATGTGGCAATAATATCCACATATGCTTTACTGTGAGCTTCTGGCTTCCAGTGCCGATCCGTATTGCTGCTCTTCCTGCAGCATGCTCGTTTTATGCGCTTTCCCCTCCTGCACTCGTCCCTATTTTCAACCACCTTAGTAAAGTTGAGTGCGGCCGCCCCCTGCCCGGTCTCCTTGCCTAGAAATGCTTCTGAGCCCATGACGTTTTTTCCTTTTGCGGACTAACGCCGGGACATAACTTGAATGGTAAATTTGGCATAGATAGACGCAGCCCAAGGCGCTGTGGCTGCCCAAGCAAGGGTCAGCGGAGCTAGGTGGATATCCTGGATGAAATTTCAGAGGCGCCCATTCTCCTAGTATTTTCTATCGCCCGTAGTATGTCAATGGGACACTACCAAATAAGACCAAATTCCTTCAGTTTCCTAATCTTTCCAGACGCATTCCTCAGGCTTTCGACACCCTCGCTCGGCTTTCAGCACCGTCCGAGCCCTCGCCGGCCCCCGCATCAACATATCCCTTTTAGCGGCTGCCCGTGCCTCGCTCCTTGCGGGCCCGCCGGAAGCTCCCTCACCATCTTCTCCTTTACAACAAGCCTCCCCTTCTCATCATTCACCACCGAGCAGCCCAGTTGTTCGCGCCGCTTCACGACTTTCGTTTGCTACCGTACCCTTTTTTTATTTTTTAAGTCGGCCCGATTCGTGCTCGATTTTTTTCGCTTACTTTTCCTCTACTTACTTTTGCTTCGACCTTTCCCCCCTTTTTAACTCTTCCCTTTTCTGCCCCTGCCTCTCTCGCCCTCTCCTGCTCTTGACATGGCCAACGCCAGGGCCCTTGCCTACCCTAAGGGGCAAGTAACTCTAGCTATTACCTGGCTCGACAAGAGCGTGAACAAACATCGTGCCCTTACCAATCTAAAGTTCGACCCTGACAGCGATTGGAACAAGTTTTACCTGACCAGTCACACCCAACTGCTCAGTGCGATTGAGGCGCTTCAAAACGCCGTGCTCAAAGTCGATGAAAAAATTTGTCGACTTGATACCTGCGTCACTGAGCTCCCCGACGACGTGGATGCCCCAGTGGTGGCCAGCGCAGTCGAATTTCTCGACTCTATGCAAGAGAAAGCCCTTGCTCTGCACGCTTCCGCTTCTGAACTGCTTGAGAACTAGCTGGCCTGGCATTCGGTTAGACACTGAAAACCAAGTGCGCCTTGCCCCTCACCCGTCTGCTACCGTATTCCTCCGACTCTGCCCCTAGCGCTCCCGTCCCCACCCCAGAAATGAGCAGCCTCGAGCAGCACCTCCGCCTTCTGCAATTAAAGCCTCCTATTCCTACTTTTAACGGAAAAGAAGCTGATTTTTCTTATTTTATGGAATGCTTTAAACAGCATTGCACCGATTATGCCCTTAGTGAGATTGATCAGTTAAAGGCTCTTCGTGAAGCATTGCACGGTACTTCCGATGAAATCATTGTCCAGGCATACCCTTTGAAAGAAGGATTTATTAAGGATGCCCTTGCCCAATTAGATCAAAAATATGCAAAACGGATGCAATGTGCCTTTCACATCCATCTCGAACTTGACTCGCTTCTCCCTGCTCGTGATTCCCTGAGCGAAATTCGCAAGACTTACCATACGACTCTTGCTCTTGTAAATCGACTTAAATACATTGACCAGCATTACGACAATTCTGGACTTATTTTCCGATTGCTCCATAAATACCCCAGCTGGGTGCAAGCAAAAATTAATCGTGATCGCCTCCGAAATGAAGATGCCTACTCTGTTGCTCAATTTTTTACGACCCTTAATGAAGTGATCTCCACCCGTGAAGATGAATACTCTGCTCATCCTACCCTATAACGTAATCATGCCTTCTCTTCTCATTTCATACTAATCCTTTTCGCAATGTTCTCACATTACCCGTCAATTTTCTTCTTCTGCTACTACCAACCCTTTCGGCTTCTTCCTCATGGATGCCGTTCCCGGCCCTCCGGCCATCAATTGAATGAGGCCATCGCGTGGAATCTCTGCTCTTACAATTAGCATCGATGTCGCTAGTTGCGAGTCCCTGCCTTGGATGCAGCCCGCGGCGTCGGCCTTGCCTGCTCTGGAAGTCGCCGATGCACTTCGACAAGCTGTTCGAAGCTCTGCTCTGTGCGCTACCCCTGCACCGCTTGAGAGTTATCAGTCTCTTCCCTCCTGCTTCGGCTTCTCTGGTCCTGTCCATGCTCGTTCTCCCGGCTTCTCTGGCTCAAAACAGCGTTTCACTAGCGTGCTAGTCCTGCTCTGATTCTGCAACTCCCCGCCATGCATCAACCAAATGTGGCTGGCATACCCAGACACGTAAGGTTGCTTTCCTTCCCTCAATTTTGTCCATCCACAGAGCCAACTGCATCCCTGTTGGTTGCTTCGGTCTATTCGACCGTTCACTGTGCTTTCGCGATGCCGTCGGCGCCCCGCGCCCCTGGATTTGTTTTTCAATCTGCATTCATTGGGTGGCCTTATCGCCCTCTGCTCTCTGTACACGATCCACCTTTTTGGAATGTTAACCATCCTCATTGCGCAACAATTTCCTGAAATCTGGTCTTCTACTGAAAAGCGTTCTTCTGAAGCGTTCCACAGGAGCGCTCTGCAATAGTGCTCATGGCGACCAGTTTGCCCTCATGCTAATTTTTCTCTTCTCAAGTGGAGAAATTTTTCCTCATGCTGGCTTTTCTCATCTCAAGTGACGGAATTTGCCACGCTTATCGGTCTACCTTGCAAGTTGACTATCTCAATTTGCGCGCTTAGCATCGCGCCGTGCCAATCCCTGCTATTGCTTGTGAGTGAAATGTCGAATTCAAGCCCTGCTGTCACTGGCATCCTGAATAATACCAGCACGCCCATGCCCTCCATGCCGATACTGTTCATATTGCTCCATGATCCGCATCGTTCGGGCATTGCCACGCATTTGAATATCCGTTGCTCTCAATCGCCTTCGGTACTTTGCCGCCGCCTCCGCCGCTTGAATACGATGCTTCGCTGCTGACAATAAGCCAATATTTTCACATCGCTTGATCTGTTTTTTCAATGTGCTTTGTTCGCTCCTTGCTACCAACTTGGTTTTGTTTCCCCAGGTTGCTTACGTCAATATCCCAAATTTCTCAATATTTCTTCTGCCATTATCTTCTTTTTGCGTTGTCGTGAGCGTGGCATCACGCCAGAAATTGCCCTGTCGTATCATCATAACAGTATCGGATTTTTACTCTGGTATTCAAATCTTTTTGCGTTGTTGGGAGTGTGGCATCACGCCATCCCTTCAGTGCCCCGGCTTCCGGCCTATCCGGAGCCGGTGAGTGGTCCTATATAATGGGATCGAATCAGCTCTCCCAGGACACTCGCTCTCCCCTATCTGCTCCCCATCTTAGATGGATACATTATGAAATAGGGATTCTAACCCTTCTGCTCTTGTTATTTTAGTATTATGTAAGTCTCTCATTATGTAGTAATTGTATTCTCTTATATTTATAGAATTGCCTTATACAAATAAACCTAATATCTATAGAATCTCCTCATATAATATTACACTGAACGTTATAATACTGCTCAATTAAAGGGATCAATATATAAGCTCTGTAGTTACAACCGACGGTGCTACAGAGAAGCCGTGAGACCCATCTGCGCCTTGACGATTGCGTTAATTTTAGGTACCTTCTGAAGAAGTCGTTGAGGGTCGGGAACCAAGAAAAAGGAAAATCATGTCCGAGCCAGAATCAGAGACTCAGAAGAAACAAAAGCCAAAACAGAGACGAAGACGCCGCGTTACGGATAAGGTACGACTCATTCTCTGCTGGCTCAAAACGCAAATCTCTCAAACATTTAGCTACTCCTCGAGCGCATTCAAAGAGTGTTGAAAAAACACGTACACGTCCTCACACCACTGGAGACGTCAGGAGCAACAAGAAAACATACAATTGTCTACATCCCAATTTGCTAAACACAAAGTCGCTTGCTGGGAAGCGACTGGGCAAAGCTGTGATTGTGAAGGTAGGCAGAGAGAGAGAGCGAGAGAGAGAGAGAGAGAGAGAGAGAGAGGGAGAGGGAGAGGGAGAGCGCGAGCGTGAGATATTTTGATTTTTAGGCTTTCCTCGAGTGCCTCAATCAAGGCTGTGTCCAGCGGCAAAACTTCTGGGAATCCCTCCAACAACACCTCTCCACGACCCACGTCGAGCGAAAGAAGCTGGGCCGGCCTACCAAAAAACGTACTCTGGCAATCCGTGCCCAAGCCACGCCACCCAAGCCAAGAGTATCGACGCGTACACGTAGCGCAGTTCAGGTCAGAAAACAGACAATTTAATAATCGTGCTTTTCGTGTTTTTTTTCGAAAAAGTGAAGTGAAATTTATTTACTGCGAAACGGAGGCTTCTATTTGGCTATTTACAGTTTTACTGAGTCTTCTTAGAAGTGTAAAACGCAAAAAAAACGTAAACGCTCAAAATGGATTAATTTTACCTTCAGAACTCGGGAATTTCGTCCAGCAAGTAAGCACAGTAGTACTACGATAAACTAAAAATTACAAAAAAGCTTTACGTTTTCAGAACAAAGAACGCCCTATAATCGACCGCATCGGAATCGGCTTCGAATCGCCTCCCTCCTCCCCAACTTCGCCAAGAACCATCGGAAATCCCCGAGACTCCTATGTACTTGACCCGGCCTATAGTCCTCCCTATTCCGACATTTCTTCCCTTTGTGCTACACCCAGATCCGAGGATTCCTACTTTCCAAAGTTGAAGCTACGCAAAGATCCGGTCTCCGGGGGCTATATGAGCCCCGGGAACTCGGAGTCTGGCTTTGATTCTGGCTCGGAATCTCCCGTTCCGGGACCTCCCGGTATACGGTATTAAACTCGTTGTAATATCAGCAATTTAATAAAGCTTACTGAATGCAATTTAATAAACTGACGATTTTTAATACGTTATAAGGCCGGTTTCTGATGGTGAATTGAAAATTGTAATAAAAACCGGGCTTTCGGTGTGCAATATTAAAACCGCGAATAAATTATTGCTATCACCTTAGCAAAATATTGTTAGATTTTTAATGGCCCTGAAACCTAAAAATCCGCCTTTTGGCGCCGTTTCCTAAACTGCGCCCTAGTCACCGTACCCCTCCAGCTGCCCGGCGCCCTGGCAACCGGCCAACCATTACGCCCTCTAATTCCCCGAACTCGGCCTTTGAATTGAAATTTTCTAAAAAAGAAGTTAACGCTATGGCCCGACAGCAACAAGTACAAAACCCGAATGAGGAACTCGTCCAAATCGAGGGCAATGATGGGAATGTTCTTACGGTATGGTTTTTAGAGCTAAAAAGTTATAGAGCGGTTATAGAAATAGGGATGAAAACGTAAAAAATGCCAGAAGTATGGTTTATTACAACGTTTTAGTTCCCGTCATCGATGCTCGAAGCTGCTGGAATTAATATACGAAATAATCAAGCCGTAACGGCGGAGCAGGTATGTTTTGCAAAGACAGGCGCTTATGCCTGATATTTATATTTATAAGAATATATATGCAGTACATTACTAAGCTTTATGCGATTAATATACTTTTTTGTGCCTACTAAATTTATTAAAATTTTCCTAGGTCGAACTTTTGTTGAGTATGGTCAACGACGGGCCACAAGCCGACCAGAATCGTGAGTTTCTGATGAATCTAAAATTTCTAAAAGTATAAAATTAATTTTCTGGCGACTTTCAGGCAAGCGCCACTATGCTGAACCGGCCGAAAACCCGCCATTTTCCCTCCTCGAAACGAACCAGGGCATCCGCTTGATCGACAGGAATGGCAGCGTTTTTGATGTGGGTTTAGAGACTTGCAAAATCGTATAAAGCGTATTATTAAATACGTATTAAATATGAGGGTACAGAAATTATCGCGGATTGAGTCAAAATGAATAGACAATTTTTTTAATTTATCTCGAGTAGTTATATTTCAGTTCGATCCGGCTCAACTATCCCAAAGAAACATCCACCTACCCCAATTAACGAGTGAGCATTATGCTGTGATGCAAGTCGTTGCCCTCGCTGTACAACAAGGAGCTGTACTACAGGGGTATGCTGAAGCTATAAACTTGAAAGCAATGGATGAGGGCAGCTCGAATTCAGTAAAGCACTAGGAACCAAATCCGGCGATATTTCGCGGCCTACGTACCCAAAGCAGGTGCACAGAACGAAGCTTTGTGTAGCTTGACGATTAGCAGCGCTCTTTTAAATGGTATTCTTCGATGTTTTTGGTGAATTTTAACAATCTTTAAACATACTACGAATCTTATTAAACCACAAAAATTGCAGCGATTCCGCCCAATACTCGAAGAAGACGGCGCACGGCCATTCTGATGAGCCGAGCGGATCTGGGGTAAGTTTTCGAAGCATTCGAAACCGATTTATTTTTAGAATTTATTTTTTTTTAATTTTATAGATTTATTTTAATTGTTTTAATGACCCCGGTTCTATTAAATCTTCGTCCATTTTAATTTTCAGCTGAACAACGAGTTCCCGGGACGTGAGATGACGCCAGGTAAATCAGCTATCGAAAACCAGCGATAATCTTCCATTTTTTAGCAAACGTGGCTGAAGTCGGGGATGAGGTGCAATTTAGAAGAGCAGGGAAGTTGCTGAAAGCGTCGGTGCGGTAGGTTTTTTGTACTCTTTACGATTGCTACGGGGATTCACGGGCCTTACAGTACATTAAAACATCATTTTTAGGTGCGGCAGCGATTTTAAATGATATTTAAACTTAGATTTCGCAGTTTTTAGCTACATCCGCGCCCAAACCGGCTACAAAGTACAGTTCGATGACGGCCATTTCGAATGGATCGACGAGTGCGATATTTTGCAGCAGAATCTGATCGATACCGGGGATCATCAGCGGTGAGTTGGAGATCATGCTCGGTAGAAGCTAGACTTTCTAGCTTTTTAAGCTAAATTTTCAAGCTAGCTTCGTTTACGGAGCTTCCGGATTCGATTTTCCGAATTTTCCCGGCTCAAAATCTTCATTACTGCTTTTTTAGCTACTCCGATTTCTCGGGATGCGGCCCAAAAGTGAGAGTCGTCGAAAAAGAAGCCAATTTCACGTGTCCGATTTGTACGAAAAAAGTAGGATCCTAAGTTTTTCAATTAAAAAAAACTAACTGAAAATAACCGGGTTTTAACAACCTTCGCCGATAATCGGTTTTAAAGGGACGGTGACAGCTGGGTTTCAGCTCCGAAGCAATACCCTGACTTCCAGATCTATCAAAAACGCCCCGCGCACATTGTCATCAGGATCCCGGCCTGTGATCAGTGCTCTAAGGAAAAAGTGATGGTGCTCGATGGGGAGGAGACCACGCAGAATGAATAAAAAATGTATTTGTGCAAGAAAATGGCACTTTGACATGATTCTGCTGAATAAACGGGTTTTTCTTGACTTTTTCGGGTTAAATAGCATTAAATTCACGTAGTAAACTTGCCAAGATACAATGAAACTGCAATATGCAGAATTAGAAAACAATCAATTGGTCTAGGAAAGCTAGCAAAGGATCTTCGGGCATACGGTCTAGAAATTAAAATAACGGCAATCTGATACCAGCATCCGTTTTCAAGGGCAAGCTGGCAAAGAAACTTAGGGAATTGGAATACAAAAAGGGTAAAAAAACAGGAATTCCGGAAAAATACGGGTTTCCATGGTTCGAGGGAACCTAGAAAAGATGGTTGTGGAATTTAGGTACGAAGATCTGGCGAGACAGCTGGCCGACAACTTGAGGGATTACAGTAACCCTTGAAAGAATTAAGGACAGAAAAAAAAATTTTTAAGCAGTATACCTATTTTAATTTTCGAAATCAGCGGCTATCAGCATGATTTGAAAAAAAAACGCTTTAGTTCCCCAGATCTAGAAGGCAGCTAGCAAAGATGATTTGAGGAATTACAGTAGCTAAACTAGAAAATTCAGGTTGAAACAAATCGTCCTGGGCGACAGTGATCGTACTTTAAACCCCCAGATGTATTCAAACCCCTTACCCACGTGCCCAAGTTCAAAATCCTCTCCAGACGCCCCCGAATACACATCTTGGTCGTTCACTGCTGCTGCGGGAGGTAGTTGGTGTGCGGACACAACCCCTCCACCCCTCCAACCACAATTCGCACACGGCAGAACGGGGCGAGAGTGGCTGAAAAATGCGAGAAGCAGACATTGTGTCCGTCGGAGTCGTCTCTGTGCTCGAAACCCCGCCCGCCTCTACCCCCGAAAAGTATATAAAGACTGGGATTTTCCGGGTTCAACGAGACAACAGATTCTACCCTTAGATATTAACTTATCTATAAGTACTCCCTTTCTAATTACTTCTAGTCCCTAGATTTCTAAAACTTCGAATTAGCGTTCATTTTCCATATTATCTATTTACCTACCAGCTTTTCATTTTCGGCTGGTCATAAGCAGCTGTAAATTAACACCTGCCAGATATTAGTAACGACATTACGTAAATATATTCTAGTTTTTTTTAGCGAAAAACGCACCAGAAATTGCGTATTTTTCCGATCGAAAACTCAAAAAGACAAGGTTTTTATCAAAATAGCAAATCTAGCATAGTGTTAGCTAAAAATTCTCGAAATCGACTAAATAGCTAGAGAACAAATAGAACCAAAAAGCTTTGAATCAACAACGCGCCAGCTATTGTGTAATTTTACAGATTACCGGCTAAATCCCCTTTTTCGCTAGTAATAAGAATTTTTAGGATTCTAGCGCCAAAAATTCACATTTCTTGCGCTGCGAAAACCTTTACGAAACCCAATAAGTCCAAACAGTCATTTTGCATCATCATCCCCCATTCAAAATCGATAAGCTGGCCACCGAGACACCACCGCCCTCGAAAAAGTGCCCTTTGCTCCGCCTGTTTACTCGGTTTTTGCACGTTCCAAGCCGGGGACGCGAAGGCCGGGCAGACGAGACGTCGCTATTTCCCCCCCCCCCCTGCGGATTGCACCGCGCTTTCCGTGTTTTGAGCCGGTCAAATTGAGACTTTGTTGCTAAAAATGGATTTTGGGTTGAAAATTTGCTAAAAAATGGCCTAAGTAGCTTCTGCTTGTTTTATTTTGCTCAAAGGAAAAGTCCGGGCTTCTGAATTAAAAAATTGGCTAAAGCTGGTTATATTTTCGAAATTAAACAAAATCTTAGACTTTTAAGAGCCGAAAAACTTTAAACGGGATGTTTCAAGCATTTTCGAAAATGTTGCATTATTCTGTGGTACGCTACACTCCACTGGACGGAATGGCGTACTGACCCGTTGTAACCCGTAGCGATTCGTAATAAATACAGAAAACTTTTTACACTGCTTCTTTTATTTATTCCTTTCTATCCTTTACCTATTTTTTTGCTATCGTTTCAGCTGCGCAACTAATTTTATGTTTTCAGTGAAATCCCTCACCATCATGGCCTTCAAGCTGAGCGGCAAAAGCGCCAAGGAAATAGCCGCATTCATCGGGCTGCTCGGAATGATGCACATCTCCTACTACACCATCCAAAACTCCTCAATGGTCCACCCGGATGCACGACAAGAGCTTTTCTATGTGAGTTTTGAGACGATTTCCGGCGTTTTTTTTTTTTAAATTTTTGGAGGGTTTGGCAAAAATTCTGAAATCTGAGCCGTCGTTTTTAACGTTTTAGTAACGTGTTGATCGTTTATTTATCATTTCTTCTTTTCAGGTACGCTGGCTGAAGGAGAAATTCCCGGCATTGAAACCATACGGCGTCAAAGAGCCCGACCACCCACCAAAGCATTAGATTCGGCCTGTTAGTTTCTCTCATTTCTCTATATTTTTCGAACTCTCGCAATACGTACTTTCCCGGCTGCCTAATCGCTTGTGATACTCCA